CAGTGGCTCAAGGTACAATTTGAACACTTGAAACAGTTCACATTCCAAGATACAGTACCATATAAAAATATATAGGGATTATAAATGTAAATAAATGGTTGGATAGTCTTATGTTTTAATTTATAAATTTCTTTATCATGTGATTTAAAGTCCCTACAAGTCCATATGTTCCCTTCTATAAAAGTTAATGCTAACTTCCAGAAAGACTGTTGAATGGGTCCTACCTGTGTACCATAGATTAAGTGAGGCATGGGGGTACTAAGTCCTAAACCAGTCCAGTTTACATGTTGTACAGGAAGAGATTGTTTAGTAACATTGTCTGAATATATCCAACTTAGGGCCATCCATGGGTCTGTATTTTTTATCGTTCCAACAAGTTCTTCCCATGGGCTCCAATCAATAAACTCATATTGTCCTATTTTCCTTTAATTCCTGTCTTGGCCCAACAAGCAGCCTCTTCATGAATCTGTAAGGGACCAGTTTCAGAGCAGATAGTTAACTTTGGCTTCCATAAATCTGAGGTTTCTCCTGGGGTAGGTGTAGACCCCAGAGTAATAACTACCAATTGATCTACAGTGTATCCCAGCCATATTTGTGGGTGAGCATTGTGGCAATGGTTTGATTGGACCATAGCATATTCAACACATAGTGGTGGGTTAGGGACATAGGTCCAATATTCAACTCCTGAGACAGGCATTATACATACGGATACTGCCAGCGGGGCCATTAAGGCAACCAAAAGATTTTCAGGGGTTGGTGGAATCCCCCTTTTGGTGACTATATCTCTAGCCTCACTGATCCTTGCTTGGATGTTGTTCCACTGGATCACTTGTCTTTTCTCCTGGTCTCTTGGGGGAGCTTGATTTTCTGGCTGATTGGCAGGTCTTCTAGGGCCCAGGTTGGTGGAGTCATCACCTAAGGCTGCCCTCAGTATTGGTTGTGTCTCCCACCAATGCTGTGTATATCTTCTGGATCTTTCACCTGTTAAGACACAAGCATTAGTAGCTGCTTCCACATTAGTAGCTGTATTGATCTTTTTAAGTTTAAATTAAGCACGGAAAAGGCAAAACTTGGTCTATCTGTGGGAAAAATAAGAATGTTAAAAAAGCAATCTTTTAAATCAATTATGATGAAAGGCCAGTCTCTAAGAACTGTGGTTAGATTTGGCAGTCTTGGCTGTAGTGCCCCTATAGGAAGTAAGCAGGCATTTATAGCTCTTAAATCCTGTAACAACCTCCACTTGTTTGACTTCTTTGGAATAACAAAGATAGGAGTATTCCAAGGGCTAACTGAGCTTTCTAAATGGCCTTGTTGTAGTTGTTCTCTAACTAATTTGTCTAATTGAGTTAGCTTCTCCTTTTTAAGGGGCCATTGAATCTTAACAGGCTCTTTGATTCCCTGTAACTTTTTTCTTAGTCCTTTGTCTTTCTGATATCCCATTTTAATCATCATTTTCTTAATTTTAGGATTTGAATCTATTTGTTTAGTTTCCAAATTGGAATTTGTTTGTTCAGCTTTAAAATCAGAATCGCTGGTCAGCACTAATTTCCACTTTTGTAATAAATCTTGTTCCCACAAGTTAACTGGAATAGGTGCCACATAAGCTGAGAAGAAACCCTTTTGTTGGTTTGGCCCCTCATAAGGCAAAGGTGAGGCACTCTGTGAAACATGCTGAGGGGTCCCCAGTCTGATAAGAGAGTTGGGGGCTTTCTTTGTTTGCCACGTGACAGGCCATTGTTTTAATGTAATTACAGACACATCCGCACCAGTGTCTATCAGACCCTCAAGGTATTTCCCATTAATTTTTATAAAACACACGGGCCTGTTTTTAGTCACTTTCTGTGTAAAATAAATTTCTCTTTTTGTAGTTTTGCTCTGAGGGTCTTGCTCCCTCCTGAGCTGTCTATACTTAACAAAAGAAGACTTTTCTATAGGTAACAAAATCAACTGTGCTATATAGTCTCTGAAAGGATTTTGCCCCAGATGGGATACTGTAGCCAGAGGGAAGCTGGGAGGCGGAACCAAGGGGCTATATCTTCCCACTCCTAGGCAATTTACCTGTGGTGCAAAATTGATACCAATGGGCTAGCTCTGCATCACTAATGTCCCTTAGGCACCACCCCAAACCTAAGCTACATGTATGCCCTCACACCACATGTCTGGCTGGCCATTGGCAGAGCCATGTAACCCAGTTGGAAATGTGTGCTGTAGCACACAGGAGCACTTCATGGTGATGCAGTGCATGCCAAGCTGCTTTTGCACAGGTGCTGAACTGGACCATGCCTAGAAGGGCTGAAATAGGCCAGTGGACTAACTTAGGTGCCCTGAGACACCTATGTAACGAACAGTATATGAACACCGAGCAGTCTTGAAACCAAATATTGATTAACTAGGACTCTTGATCCTGGACATTACAACCTGCATGATGAGTTAGTGCCTTTGTGGTTTTAAATGTTATGGTAACTGTAACCAGAACTTAGGTGGTGTACATGACTTTTTTTTTTTTTTTGTCTTTTTGAGACAGGGTCTCTCTATGCAGTTCAGGATGGCCTTAGCTCACTTTGTAGCCCAGGCTGGTCTCAAACTCACAACTATCCTCCTACTTCAGTCTCTTGAGTGCTGGGTTTACAGGCGTGAACCACCACACCTGGCCATGACATTTTACTTATTGATGAAAGGTTCTGTTGGAGGTTCTCATGTCCAGTTTCGGTTCTTGACTTAAATATAACAAGAAAATTCTGAAAATGTTAAAGCTCTTTCCAAGTCATGCATGTGATCAATATTAGAAATTAGGGACAGAGCTACATACTCACAAATCATTTGCACTGCAGGTTTTTATTGCACCAGAAGTGAGGGGCTGTCCTGCAGGGGCATCAGCTCTTAACCGTGCAGACCACGCTGTGTCTGCCACCTGCTCTGCACTCAGGCCAGGCAGGCTGTGTGCCTTACTCCAAAAGTCTCCTGCCTTGACCCATACAGTTTCCTGCAAACCAGCAGCAAGTGGGAGTCTGTTCTCCAGGAGCCCCTGCAGGATTCTGTGGTTTCTTGACACTCCTCAGTGTGTGCCTGCAGGCATCCTGACATAGAAACCTGTTTCTCTCTAGATCTGAACGGCATAGATTTGACGCCTGTGCAGGACACGCCTGTGGCTTCAAGAAAGGAGGACACATATGTCCATTTCAACGTGGACATCGAGCTCCAGAAGCATGTGGAGAAGCTGACCAAAGGTATCTGTGGGATGCGGGGCTTTGGCCGGCTGGCACACCCTGGTGTATGAGCACGGTGTGGTGCAGTGCTGCACAGGTCGTGCCTGGCAGAGCTGTGTCCCATGGGTGTCAGGAGACACTGACTTGAGAAAGTTGAATCTGTACTTTGTAAAAACATGGGAACTAGGAATCACATGATCCAGGAAATGCCCCTGGAAATGCTCTTGGATATCAGATTTCATTGTCTTCTGCAGAAGAGTGGGAGGTCTCCTCACGTTGACAGCAGGGCAGAGGGCACTTCTGCAGGTCCCCACAGCCTCACTGCCCTGTGCTGGGACTGCTGGCCCTGGCAGGTCGTTGGTGGGAAGCTGGGCGAAGAGAGCACACGTTTCTGAAGCACCCAGATTGTGTTTCCATGTTCAGTGTTCACTAGAGTGCAGTGCTGCTGCCGGCCAGACTCATGTTTACTTGGAAAAATTAGAATGGGATAAACAGTTCGAATCCCAGCCTCAAAAATACTGAATTTGGAGAATTTTGTTTGAGGGGAAAGAGATGCTTCAGTGTAAGAAACTCTCTAATGCCTATTGTGTGTGGTACACAGTGCTTTGGGCTCTGCTGAGCTGTGACACCTTCGCGTTCCTCTTCTTGTATTTGACGTCTATACTCCTCAATGACTGCGCTTAGGCAAGTAACTGACCTTGGGTCAGCCTAGCTCAGAGACCTGTGCTGTGCTCATACAGCAAGGTAGTGCAGTCAAAAGCAGCGCTCAGACCCAGCAGTTTGGGGGCTGCCACACTAGGTTAGAGTCACAGCACCACACCACACTGGACACAGGTCACTTTGTCAAATCCTGTCTGTCCCTCTGTTCCCTGCGGTGGTCAGTGAGAACTCTTGGATCCAGGAGGACAAGCTGGCCATGGTTCACCAGCTTGTGTGTTTCCCTCCTCAGGTGCAGCCGTCTTCTTTGAATTCAAGCACTACAAGCCCAAGAAGAGGTTCACCAGCATCAAGTATTTCACCTTCATGGAGATGGATGAGGTCAAACCCAGGCCAACTGTGATTCAACTGTAAGTGGCATGTGGACAGCTGAGCTCTGCTCTCAGGTGTCCTCCCAGCCCCGCTTCCCTGTTGAATTACCTTGCAGATCAGTCACCAGGCATTCTAAATAATGCTCTCTTTTGTGGTTACAGCTACAAGAAACCCACTGACTTTAAAACAAAAAAATTACAGTTATTACCAAGAAACCACTTTATCTTCACCTGCATCAAACTTTGCATAAGGACTAATACTCACCTGAGTACCCTGGAACTCCTGTGAATCTTACCAGCCAGTAGCATGCACCACAGCTCTGCAGGATCTTCAATCTCTTGGGCAGGAAGTGGGCTCTGCCCACCCAGCAGGCCAGCGAGTACCTGGCATGGCTGCAGTGTGGAACCGAGTCTGGTGTGTTGCAGAGCAAGTCCCCTTTGGACCTAGGCTTACTGTAGGTGCCGGAACATGCTCTTCTCTGTTAATTGTGCGATCCATAGTCTGTTTTATAATTTGCCTCTGCCCCTACCCGGCTTCCCAGAACAGTGCTGTTGTGGGAGGCGTGCTCATCTTCAGACCCCACCCAGCAACAAGAATGTGCTTGAGTTTACACACCTGCTCCCTGGGGCCAGGCTGTGTGTAGAGGCCCCCCAAGTGGGACGGGCTGCTGGACTTCCGGCTCTGACGTACCGTGTGGAACAGTGTGCCTTGCCCAGATCAGTGTCCCCAAGTGGTAGCTGTAATTTTTTTTCCCAGATAACCAGATTATTTTTCTGAAAGTGACATCTTTTAATTGTGTTGATCACCTGTTTTACATCACATTGTTATTTTTTCTAATGATTTCAGAGTTAACATTGGAAGCATCTCAAAATAAACACACCTTTTTAGATGGGTTTACAGTGTCTTAAGTCTTGTCATCTGAAAATAACTGTGTCCGGTACAAATGAGATACTGCAGGAATAAACGCTGTTTATCTGACAAGTGATTGTGAAACTTCAAACCTGCATACCTTTTCTTAGTGATGAGTATGGAAAACCTTCAAAAACCAATATAAACCTTGGCCCTCTGATTAGTGGGGCCATTATGCGCTCTGCCTCAGAGCTTGGGCAGGTTCCTGGCTGCTTTGCGGTGAGGCTAGGGCCTCTCTGGGCTCCCAGAGCAGGGGCTCCAGGCGGTGGTGGGTAGTCCTGGGGCCCGGTGGGCTGTGGTGGCATTCGAGGAGCAGGAATGAAGTACTCTCGGGGGCCGAGCGGGCCTGGAGGCCTGAATGGCACAGGTGCCGGCAAGAACTCGCGGGGGTGCAGCAGCAGGTCGCAGCGTCCAGGCAGGATGCTGGGTGCATGCTCTCTTAAGCCCAGTGGTGGGCCCATGCGTGGGACTGGAAAGCAAGAGGGACACGCAGACACGTCCTAAGGAGCAGCCCAAGTCTGCTCAAAGCGTTTCCCTTCCCCTGAGCCAGGAAACCAAGTGATGCATCACACTTCACAGATAAGGGAAACTGAGGCTCAGTACGGCTCAACTACAGCCTGACCCTCCCTTCTCCCACTGCCACACACCCGTGGTGGCCCGGTTGACCACCCTGGTGGGACTGCCACTTCGGCTCTGTGGGAAGGACCCTTCTGGTCCGAGCAGCTGTGGAGGCTGCACTGGGCTCAGAGTGCTGGACCTCGTGCTGCGAGTCTGCAGGGCTGCAGCTGCCGATCAGGACAGGAGAGGAGAGGACAGGGCAGGGGGTGGTGCCAGCCCAAGTGTCCTACCGTACCGAATGTCAGCAGTGGCTGCAGAGGCATCGGCCGAGGCCTGAAGGGCCCGCAGAGTGTTGGTGTCGGCGGAGGCCCATAGTCCACGGGGCGCAGCATGGGGCCTCCCAGGAACGGGAGCCCTGGATAGGCTGGGGGCCCCTTCGAGGCCATGCTCACCTGCAAACAGAAGCAAGCCCAGTTCCCAGCTCAGCGGTGACACCAGGTGCCCATCCCGAGAGGAATGAAGGGATCCCCGGCCCCTGCCAGCCCCTACCTGAGAGCAGCACGCCATGCAGCAAGCATGCCCACCATGCTGTCCCCACTCTCATGTGGAGAGATGAGCTCCAGAGGGGCCAGCAGGCACTGCGCCAGCTTGCAGCACTCCTGCCAGCACGGGCGTGGCCCTGGGCACGACAGGAGCAACACAAGGGCTCTTGGGGGCCGGGGGTCCCTGGGGAGAACAGGGAGCTGCCTCGGCCAGTGACACTGCACAGGGAGGGGCTGGCGGAGGCGCCTGTGCCTGGGCTGACCAGAAGACAGGCCAGAGAGCTCTGACCATCACAGGCGGCCCCATGTGGTGGGAAGGGTGTTGAGGCAGCAGCATCAGGACCAAGGAGGCACAGCAGCCTGGGCCACCTGGGGCCGGGTTCATGGGTCCCTGGAACTAGTGTCCCACTCCCACCAGAGCCCACCTCATTCTGATCATTCCAAGGAGTCTGCCTAGCACAGACCCTGAGGCCCCTCACAGCTGCTCCCAAAAGAACAAGAACAAGGGAGTGTGGCAACCCACACCCATCATCCCGGCACTCAGGAGGCTGAGGCGGGAGGACTGTTAGCGAACTGGAGCTCAGCTCTGGGTACTGTGAGGTCAAGGCCAGCTTGAGCTGCATAAGGAAACTCTGATTCAAAATAAGTAACAAGCAAAAGACACAAGGCACAGGCTGCCCAGGGTGTGAGGCTCACAGCACGTGCCCCAGGCCCCAAGCCATAACGAAGGCCTGAGTCAGATGGCTATAGCTGAGTCAGCAGGGAGGCGCCACACCCAGGCCAGCTGAAAAACAGAGAGGAGGGGGCTGGGGAATTAGCTCAGCGGCCTTGCAAACAGGCAGTCATAAGTTTGATCCCTGGTACCCATGAAAAAGAAAAAAAAAAAAAAAGAACAGAGAGGAAACCGAGGGCGCGAGGAGCGACTTGGTCGTGGCTCCCAGGCTCACCTTGCCGTCGTCCATGCCCTTTGCCAGGGAGGAGCCGCGGGAGTCACTGTTGGCCACAGAGCCTGGGCCAGGATCTGGGGGCAGAGAAGGCACTCAGAGGACTCTCCCAGGACGAGGATGAGAAGAGGCCACGCACGCGCGCGCTCTTAGAAGTGCCCTCAGGGACGCTCGGGGACACAGCAGAGCCCCGTCCACTGGCTCTGGAGAGAGCTGAGGCTCGGCCGGCTCTGACCGGGCAGCTGCAAGGCCTATGGGAGGCACAAGGCCATGGAGCCCTAGAACAGGAGCCGCTGGCACCCAGCTCACTGGGCAGGCATCAAGGCAGGGGGGACTCAAAGGCGGCCTGTATGCCTGCGCGGGATCAACCATGCCAGCACTTCGGACCGTGCACCTGGGGAGCTGGGAAGGCTGCGCCACAGCAGCCCCAGCCAGAGGCAGAGGCGGCTTTCAGTCTCAGGCTGTGGAGGAGGAAAACAGGACACAGAAGACAGAGCCCGCACCCAGAGGCCACACCCTTAGGTAGCAGCACGCAGAACCAGCAACCTGCAGGACCGCTAGCTTGGGAGCCACCCCTGGTGGCCCGGTGAAGAAAGTGCACACACACGTTGAACACTCTGCCTAGAGGGAGAGGGTGACACCATGAGCCTCCACCATACCTAGGCCAGAGGAGGTTGGGAGTGACGAGGTGGGCGCCGGCTCCCAGGACCCTGCTCGAGTGCTGCAATCAGGGTGGGCCCGTACACAGTCCACAGCTAAGTGAAAACCTCTAGCCTGGAGTACACAGAGCTCAGGGAACCGTGCCCGGGGCAGGTGGCACAGTGTCCCTGAGTGTGGGCCTCAAGGCCCCGGAGAGACTCACCTGAGTCGGCTCTTGGGATGTCACAGCCTGTGAAGTTCAGGCTTGCAGAGGGCTGCCTTGCATGGGGCTCTGCGCCTGGGAGTGGGTAGAACTCACCGCAGTTCACAGGGCATGGGCCAAAGGAGCCATTCTGGCTCAGGGGACCTGTGGCGACAACATGCGCTGGTTACCCCTTCTCTGCAGTGGCTAAGTTCCCCAAATCGCACTCAGGACAGAGCACCCACCATTGCGGGGCGCGGTCTGTGCTCCTGGCCGATCCGGCATGGGCTTGATGATAACAGGCTCCTTTGATGCATGGCCCGCTTCTTGGTAATCTCCACAAGCCTGCAGAAAGACAGGGATTGGGGTGTGACCATAGCCACTCCGAGTGGGTTGAAATGTGGGCGCCGCGCGTCACGCCACAGGGCCACTCACCTGTGCCGCAGGCTGGCAGCCTCTCACTTCTCTGTGGCAATCCGGAGCTCAGTGTGGCGGGCCTTGACCTTGTGAAGACAGAGGGGCCAGCTCAGCACAGCAGCTGAGTGAAGCTGTAGGGGGCGAGGCAAGGAGGCAGCTCTTACCCAGTTCTCGTGGGCTTTCTCCTCATAAACAGCAAGCTGCAAGAGAACAAGGCAACACGCAGGTTGAGGGACACAGCACCATAGCCGCAGCCCTCCGCTGCAGCCCTCCAATGTCTGTGTGGGGGATTAACAGATGCTGTCACCACGCGGCTGTCTATTCCTTACCTGGTTTTCAAATGAGCGCTCTGTTTTCGGTAATTCTTGCTTGATTTCGTGAATTTTCTGCCTAAAAATAATAGGTAGCAGTTAGAACCAAACAAAATCTGAAGCAATCTGACCATGTCTGATCTTTAAAGACCTCATCATACAGAAACGTTTCATAGCGTGATGAGTGCAGTGTGAACAACCTCAGTTTCCTGATTTTTCATTTAATGGCTAGAGATTATGAGTTGACAACTTGTAAATTTCCTTAACTGTCCTTGTAATAACGTTCTCAAAATAATCTGGCTAAGGGTACCTTCCCCATAAAGATGCTACCCTGCCTTGGAGCCAACTGAGTATGGACTGAAACCTCCAAAACTGTAAGAAATAAACCTTTCCTTCCTCAACTTTGGGTTTCAGATATTTTGTCTAGGCAATGAGTAAAAGGTAACTAAGACACCGGCACAGAGGCCAACACAAAGCAAAGGCTCCAGTGTACACATCCAGTTCTCAAGGGGTGGAAAAGCAGCTTTCCCCTCTTGCCTGCTGCTACTGCACCCCAGTGACCCAGACATAAGTATGAATCATTCAGATGTTGGGAGCCATTGAAGCCGGAAACTGACCACACGTGTGGGGCCAGGGCATGGCTGTCCCAAGAACAGAGAGCCCCTGGGGCTGCCACGTGAAGAAGCTGCCTCAGCCCAGAGAACACCAAACCCCAAGACAATCTGAACAGTGGGCTGCTAGGACAACAGGGTGTCATGTGACATTAAGTTGCTAAAGGTATAAATAAACACCCCTGCAGTGAGGGACCAGTTCCTTTCTTACCATCAGGAGGGTAAGGGCTCCACAGGACCCCAGATTTGTCTGGCTATTTTCTCATCCTCTCGTGGTCCTTCACACTGAGAACCTAAAGAGCTGCATGGGTCTGGGCAAGAAGAAAGTCAGCTGAAAAGCAGCATCTATGTGTGGAATTAAAGACAAGAATGCTTAGGAGGCTGAGGTAGAAGATTTGCTGTGGGTTTAAGGCCAGTGTGGGCTACACAGTGAGTTCAAGATCAGTCACTACATAGAGACCTTGTTTAAAATAATAGTAAAGAGAAGAAGACACAAAAAGGGCCCCTTGAAGGGCTGGGGATTTAGCTCAATGGCACAAGCACCTCCCTGGCGAGTGCAAGGTCATGAGTTTGATCCCTGGTTCAAAAAAAACCAAAAAAGGCCCTTGGGCTAGGGCCAGTCTTACCTCCCACTTCTCCATTGGCTAATTCACCTGGCTCACATCTGCCTGGACCTGGACCCTCAGATTCAGATCCACTCTCAGACTGATTCAGCTGTATGATACAGTTGGTCAGAGCCTAGCAGAGAAGTGAGAGGCAGTTAAGAGCCTCTCCATCCTCACAGTGAGTTTGTTTCCCGAGTGTTCACAAACAGGCTGGGTGGGCCAGGGTAACTTACACGGATTCTATCATCCTTATGAGCGAGAGCAGCTTCCAGATGCCTCTGAGACTTCTCTAAGGACCTGATTTCCTCGCTGAGTTCAGCATGTAACTTCTCCTGGTCTTCAGCTTCCTGCTCTAGCTGAAAGTCAGATGCAAGGGTCCCTGTGGATGGGGGACTTCACAGAGACACAGGACCATGCAAATGGGATGGGGAAGCAGGAGTCGTGTCCCTCCTTGCCCCATTACAGAGGCTAAGACTTGGTTCAGGACCATGGAGCATGGCTTCCACCCTGAGCTGTCAAGGAAGCTGACCCCATCCATCAAGTCCTTCTGAAAAATGCCTGCTGACTCAAATGCCTGACTTCCAGATGGCACACGTGGGCATGTATTGCTGCCGCTTAACAAATTCCCCTGGAATGAACTGCTGCAGGGCATGCAGGGCTGTCCATACCACCTAAAGGGACTATCCTGTGTGTCCCCCTAGCAGGGGGACATGTGTGCCCCATTCAAATGGGAGCTGCTGGCAGCTAGCCATGGGAATTTTGGCCTCATTGTGTGTGTGTTGAACCCAGATCCCTGATCTAACCTTTCAATGGCCAATGTGAGGCATTAACTATCAGAGGAGTCTTAGCAAAGCCATCTACTATGTTTTAGGTAAAATCAAGATTCAATGTGGTCTAGGGGGAAAAAATCAGCTTAAAGAGCTGAGGGAGATCCTGGAGCAAAGATGGCGGATAGATAACAACTGGCTACGGAAGCTCCCTGAGATACTCAACTTAGAATTCAACATAATACAGAGTGGGGGCCCCCAAACAGAGGGAGATGAATTCTCTCATCCCAAGAAGAAATTAAGGTGACTTGCCAACCATCTGAGGTCCCGCTGCAACTGGCTGATGCTGTGACTTGCCAGGGTCCCGCTGCAACCTGCCAGGGTCTGGGGTCCTGCTGAGCCCTGCTGGATCCTGTCACAGCTTGCGTGGCCCCTGCCATGGCTTGCCGGGCCCCGCCAAGCCTTGCCGGGGTTCCACTGCCACTGGCCGGGGTCCCGCCGTTGACTTGCGGGGGTCTCGCTGCTACTTGCCAAACCGTTGGAGGTCCTGCTGCTTTGACTCACTGGAGACACGGTTATATTGACTTGGAGGGTAAACAAGCTGAACGGAGAACTGAGTTGGCGGGGAACCTACATCGACCTGTGGTGAGTGACAGGAGTAGAGCAATTCCATAAATAGGGGGACTCTGGTGGATGACATTCTGGGACCTGGCAGGACTGGCAAGTACAAGGGGCAGCAGTGACTTCAGTCAATTGTCCCCTTCCAGAATGGGACTGGTGGAGTGAGCTAGGCCTGGGTCACTTGAACTGGCTGAAAGCCAATAAGTTATCTGAGGTCAAGTCCCTGCAGCGGTGTCGCACTCTAACCACACTGGCCCAGTGGAGCCTCGGAGGTTTGGCTGGTCTGGAGTGGGGTGGGCCACGTAAAGTAATACAGTAGTGCAGGCCACAGCAGCTTGACTGATCTGGAGGAGAGGGGCCAGCATACACTGTCCCTGTGTGCAACTCACTAGCACACTGCAGAGTGAAGGGTCATCTATCCAACACGCTTCAGAAGAATTGTAACCAACAAAGAAGGAAACTGGGGCCTCCTGGAAGAAGCAATAAAGGTGGAAAGATGAAACAACAACAAAAAGTCTCCAGGCCCAACCCTGAGAACATTGACCCAGGACAGGTAAATACAAAGGAGAATGAGAACAGCAAACATGCAATATCAGACACAGCACCAGTGGACATAAAGAGATATAATCGGGACCTCATAGACAAGTTCAAAAGTGAAACGTTTAGCCAAATAAAGCAAGATATAAGAAGATTAATAAAAGAGATACTAAGCACCCCTCAAGCAGATACAGATGTAAGAAGGGAAGAACTCAAACACAGGAGAGAACCATTTGGTGAAGAATATAAAAAAATATAGAATACATGAAGCAGATTCAAAGAGATCACCAGGAAATTAAAAACTCTATGGAAAGATGGCAAATCAGCTTGAAAGAAACTAAGGATAGATTATTCAAACTGGAGGACAATTTTGCAATGTGGGAGTATGAAAGGGAAAACTTTTTAGAAATAACAAGGAAACAAGCAGTAATGATACAAAGGCTAGAAGATGACAAAAGGATCTATAACTTGAGCATAAAGAAGTAAGTAAAGAAGCTGGGAACAAAGGAACTACAAGGATTATTCACAGAAATAATTAAGGAAAACTTCCCAAACATAGGAAAAGGAAATAATATTCTGATATATGAGGCATACAGAACTCCAGCCACCTACAACTAAAACAGAGCTACACCCAGGCATATAATAATCAAGATCCCAGAAATTCAATATAAGAACAGAATATTAAAAGCTGTTAGAGACAAAAAACAGATAACCTACAGAGGAAGGCCCATCAAAATAACAGCAGACTTCTCGGCATAAGCCATCAAGTCAAGGAGAGCCTGGAGTAAAATATTCCAAGCCCTGAAAGAAGATGACATCCAATCCAGATTGATATACCCTGATAAACTGTCTCTAGAAATTAATGGAGAAACAAGACGCTTCCAAGACAAAGAGGAACCTAGGAAATTTGCAACCACCAACACAACTCTACAGAGGATGCTCCAGGGCATTCTAGAGGGAGACACTCCAGGAACAGTGGCAGAGAGGCCTCAATGAATGGAGCAGAAAACAGAATGAAGAACTGAACAACTGATGGCACAAAAAGAGCATAACAGAAATGAGGCAGAGAAGATTTTATTCAAAACTGATATGATTGATAGTATCAAGTCTGAGAGTATAGGCAACTACACTGAAGATGACAAGACTCTACGATACACATTCTGGTTTGATAACTGCCAGTTTTTGAAGTTCTGTACTATATACAAAGTTGTGTTTTTATTAATACTGTTATGTACTGACATATTCAATCATACTATGTCTGATGATATAGCCAGTTCTTTTGGAGATAACAAGAAACAACACAGAAACTATGGTAGAATGATTTGTACAATGGTCTTATATATTTTTTTGTTTCATGTGTTTATAGGAATATGTTTTGTTTTGCCTTGCTTTATTTTGTTTCTCCCTCTAATACAGAAAGGATAGAAATACATGTTAAGACTCATGCATATGTAGAATCTATAAACAGTTTATGAGAACTGAACATATGACACATGATGAAATGAACAGTTCAAGAAAAACAGACATTAAAATACCCAGTGCTGATCCTGGAGTGTCATAATGTGAAACCCAGCAATAGTATTATTCTTTGTTCAGAGTGATATTAGCCTGCTTGGGTTTATTCAATCTAAACATAATTGCAGCGATGAATAACTGCATGTATGTTTAAGTGTGTAGGTTTGATAACCATATTTCTAAGTTTTTGTTGGATAGTTGAACAGAACTGGTTGCAATCTCACTGTTTGAATCCCCATTTTTGAAGCTTCACTTTACTATCTTCAATAACTATTTGTAAAGAGACAATCTGTAATCATCAACTAGTGATTTCTTACTGTTTATTTTTTTCTTTGAAATTATGTAGTATTTCTACCCATTTTCTGTTTTGTTTAGTTTTTCTTTAAATAAAAAAAAAGAGCTGAGGGAAAAAATTGAAGTCAAGAGTTTCATGGTACCCTCAAGCTTCGGGTGATCACACAACATAGTATAAACAAATGTTCAAGCAAAACATGGAAAATGAACAGCTTTTCTGGTGGCATGAAAACAAAAAACGCCCCAAAAGGGCTTGAGATTTGGCTCAGCAGCATAAGTGCCTGCCCACCAAGCACTGGGTCATGAGTTCGATCCCTGGCACCAAAAAAAAATAAACCTCCAAAATCACTTTAAACATTTTCTTGTATGAATGGTAAGAATGCTGCGTATGGTGGATGCCTATAATCCCAGCATGTGGGAGGCTGAGGCAGGAGAGGGGAGTTTAAGGCCCCGCCTAGGCTACAAAGTGAGTTCACAGCCAGCCTGAACTGCATAACAAAACCCAGTCTCAAAAAGACAAAACCAAAACAAAACAACACACAAAAAAGTGTTCTGGGGGAACAGAAAAATCTCATGTGCAGAATTTCTCAATATTTATGACAATACTGGCTCAAGGGGTAACCCTAACCCACCGTTCTTTTAACTGCAGGTTGTGTTTCATGACTTCTTGCCAAAGAGCATGGTGCACAAAGGACAGAAAATGGGCAATTTACCGGGTCTGTGCTGAGCAAAGGACCAGGCCACACAGGAGGTGGGAAGCATAAGAACTCTCCTCATTACATTTCCACTTAGGGGATTTTAAAACTATTCGAAAGGCACAGAGTTTACTGTGAAATAAAACCAGTGTACACAGACTACTCAACTGGACCAGTTTCTTAGTGACTCTGTGTGTTCTGGAGGACACAGCTATGAAAGTATCCAAGATTCAGGATCAAAACACTTCCCATGCCTATAAAAAGGTCCTACTGGCTTAGTACTAAAAATTCCACAAAATGGGTACAGGCATGTTCAGTTCTGTTATTCCTAATCTTAAGGAGTTAACAGCATGGGAACAGTTCAGCTAATTTACAAAATAGCTAAAAATACAACTGTAGTAACACGCAGCAGCAGAACTCACCAAATCCTGATTTTTCACGTTTTGTTTCCTCTGAGATTTGAATATAACACCAAGAGTTTTGGCAATATCATTCAAAAATTTATTGCTTTCTTCAAGCATCTTGCTTTCAAGCTACAAGAAAAGATATTAACAATATGCATTAATGCTTGCTTTTGTTTTTAGACTATAATCCCAAAAAGAGAAGGACTTTTACCTTGTATTTAATTGTTTGATGACAGGGAATTGAATATTTTTCCTTGGTCTCCTGAATAAGCTTCGTCCATTCCTTGATCTATGTAAAAAACACATTCAGAACTAAGTAACAGAAGTCACTGTGCTACTGAAACCTTGTTCCAAAGAAGCGAGCAGAGTGTTCGCTTTATACATGATGATGCATAAGATCTGGAGGGCTCAGGGGAAATGATGAAGCGAGAACACAGGCCTTCAAAATACCATAATAACTGAGCTACACCACAGACACGCTACAGGAGGGGCCGTGAAACAGGTTCTACCTTCTGTTTATAACTTGACACTTTTCGGACAAGTTCTGCATTGTCTTTTGTGGTATTCTTCAGCTTCTCAGCAATCTGCTGTTCAGTTACTAAAAAGAGGAAAAAGCCAGTATTAAGCACTAAATGGAACTGAGCTGCACACGGTCTCAGCAGCAAGGACTCGTGTGAGGCTCCGTGAGAGACAGAGCTTCACACAGCTACCTGCCTTTCCAGAGAGACCCGCAGCTAACAGCAACAGTGCACAGGACACTGTTAAACTTTAAGAAAACTATAGTAACACTTGTTTTGATGAGATAGCAATTTACTGCAAAGGCAGGAGATGCAGTAAAATGTTACATAGTTGGAGAGGCTCCCTTCAAAAAAGGCACTTGTTCTCTGAAAACGGAATCACTTCAAATGAATGTCATTTGCAAAGAGAAACAGCAACTTCAGGCTACTGATCTACACTGCTCTCTCGAGCTCCTATGCTGATAAACCTGTAGGGGCTGATGTGTCCCTAGCACAGACACACTGTCCTCTCTCCACACCTGTGTGGTCCAGCCACGCTTGGTCTGTTCCATGTAAGCAGTCACCCCCCTGCCCCCACATGTCCTATCTCAGCCAGTACCACCATCCTCACTGCTATACCATGGTTAGTAGCAACAGTAAAATGTGGAGCAGTTAGTAAGTCAAATCAGACACCAAAGTCACTGCCTCTCCTAGCCTGCCTAAAAGTCCTCCCAAACACCAACAGGAAGAGATTTACCTTGGCATATTCTCTCCTTGACTAGAAGAAAAAGAGAGTATTAAATTTGATGTCAAACATTTGATTAAAAGAAATACATAGTTCCTAACACAAGTCAGGATCATAACCAAATGAAAATTTAGTAACTGTTTAGTTCAGGATAAATCCATACAATTAAAAATGTATTATAAATAGCCTCTGATACAGAGAACAGTAAGGTGTATGTCTTACTTCACAGCTACACCCAGGTTTATGTGCCAGTACCAAGTGAACACCAAGCTTATGAGATGAGCCTTTGTCTTCAACAGTGAAATGCTTGTTTTTATAATACGCACATTATTGATTTACTTACTCAGAATTACTTGACAATCCCGAACAGCAAGCATGCAGTCTAGAAATGGTGACCATATGGAAGACTCTCGAGCGAGATTACCAGCATAACCTTTGCCCTAAGATACACCTCTCACTCACTGGAAGATACCTCAGAAACCCTATTTCAAGTGACCTCTTGACTCAATTAAGAAATAATCTAATACACCTCATCATCTGATTTCCCCAGACCAAAAAAAAACAGAACAGGTCTGTGGTGTAGCTCAGTTATTATGGTATTTTGAAGACCTATGTTCTTCTATCTAAGCAGAAGGGAAGACACCAGAAGAACAGAGAGAAATGACAGCTAAGGGCTTCCAGGAAGAGCACAGACCCAGTTCTTCCTCCCAGCGACTTCTGGGGTCATAAATCCTAATTAAATACCACAGCAGGGATCACTGCACTTCTCTGTAACACAGACTCTGTCTTCTCCTTCCGAGTGCTATAAAAAAAAAGTGTAGGACAGCAGAGTGCAGTGACCTCGGGGGAGCAGGGGTGTGTGGGGGGATGACTGTCCTCTCCAGGACGAGGAGTAGTGCCTCAGAGCCATGCGACCTCAGGGAGTGGTAGGAAGTGAGCCAGGTGCAGGGTGTGAAGCTGCAGGGCTGAGCCTGAGAGCCCTGCTGGGGAGCAGCTGCAGGGGAGCAGAAGGAGAGGAGCAGGGGAAACAGCACCTTTTCACACCCACACACTTCCGCTTACCCTTCCAGGTGTTCTTTCATGCAAGAAGCTGTTCAGTGAGATTCTAGAAGTTCTCACAGGAATCTTTAATAAGGTGCTGTTTTAGGGTTGTTTTTGGTACCGGGGACAGGGCCTTCACAATGAACTACATTCTCAGCCTTCCCATTAATTCTTGAGACAGGCTCTTGGTAAGTGACCAAGTTGCCCAGGCTGGGCTTAAACTTGCACTTTTCCTGCCTCAGCCTCCCGCTCCACCAGGGCTGCAGGAATGCACACACCACTATGCCTGATCTTGCCTCGACGTTTCTACCATCTTACTCTATTTCTTGCCCTGTATGTCTCTACAACACAGTTTATCAGCACCTCACGGTCTGTTTCCACTTTTCCCACTTCACATTAAATTGTGAACACCTTCTCTGCCCCTGCCTTTGAAATACACACAGCAGCCTAATTATTCTGTTCTGTGGATATAAATAAGATGAAACATGATATTCCCTAATATAGATCATTTAGGTTTCGCCAAGTTATTACTCTATTAAATACTATTTCATCTAACACCTTTGTATAAAATCTTAAACATTTAATAAATGTAATTTATTTCTTTAAGATCATTTACTGACACTATCATACCACATGAAAACAATTTAGATTTCTTATCCTGTTTTCTATCCCATTTTAAAGGCTTGTGATATATAGAATTATTAAACGGCTTTTCAGGATGGCGGTATGAGTCCCCAACTCTACTAACAAGTGGATATGGCTGGCTTGCTCTTAAGTCCTTGCCAATACCAAGATTACATTAAATCATTTCAGAAAACTAGCTTGAATTATAACTACTGATCTGTTTATGTTAATAACTGAAAGGGCCAATGATCTATAGAATGCTCAATGTATTCAGAAGTCAAAGAGCAAGTTAATTCACTCACAGCAAGGACCGTCCTCCAGAAGAAAATGAAAAACAAAAGGATTCCCAAACAGGCAGTGAACAACACAGGCTTCCAGGGGAGCCCATAAAAGTCAGGCCCGGCTGAACATGCTCAGGTAAGGTAGCAACCACCTGAAAAGGAAGGGCACAAATAACGGAAACGTTAACAGAACTGGCAGAGCAATCACAAAGGATCATCGCAGATACTCTCAATCTCTCAATAGTCTAAACCAACTTCCAGGTGCCCTGATGAAACTGCCAGAAAGGATACAGGGAGGCTCGCGTTCTTGTTCGGCATGTGGAGTCTCTAAACTTAGGGAGTGACTTGAGCCTATTTCCCAGTTGGCAACAGGCCCTTCTTCATTGCAGTGTCTCACACATGGCCAGAATGTGTCCGGATCATGCTTAGGTGAGCTGTTTTCTGTTACTGCACACACACACACACACACACACACACACACACACACTGTAAATACATGATAGAAGCCATCGGTTTATGCGGCTGCAAACAAAACCACTATGACAATGATTGCCACAAATCAGGCATCACTACTCCAGGATGCTGTGTCTCAATTCGCTGCACCCTTAGGCTGCACGCACAGGTGGCACAGGTGGCGGCGTGAACGCGACTCCCAAGGCAATTGCTGCCTTCAAGCCGCACGCCACTTCCTCAGGGCCGCCCGCCCTCTGCCGTCCACACCGGCTCCTGCCTGTCGGTGGGTACGGCTCTTCCAAGGGGATCTGCAGGCCGGCTCCGCCTGGCGGGCGACCCGTGCCCCTCGCCTGGCCCTGGTTCCCGGCCTCACCTGCAGCAGCCAGGCTACGAGGGCCGCATACAGAATCCGCAGGGGCTGAAGCAGCTTGGGGATGCCCGGGGACACAGTGACCGCGAGCCTAGTGGCTGACACCGCGTCCATCGCGAAGGACCGCTCCGTGCGGACCAAGCCGGACGGGGCTGGACCCTGCCATGGCAAGCGGTCCTTCCCAGAGGCAGCAGGGAGCGAGACTGCACAGTTACACCTTCTGCTTCCCGCTATACTATGAGCCTTAAACACAAGTCACAGGTCTCCAGGGTGATGCTGCCGCGCGCCTGCAAAGGGGGAGGGGCGAAACCTGGGCACGGTGCAGGGGCGGGGCGGGAACGGCCAATGAGCAAGGCCCGGGGCTGGCGCGCCCAATGAGCGAGGCCGGGGGCGGGGTCCCGTGGCCGCAGAGCAAGGCCTGGAGGGTAACCGCGCTATGGCACCGAGCTCAGGCGCTCTCACTGCTGGACTAGGACGCCCGGTCTCACGCGCTCCACTTCGTGGCTGGGGGCCTGGCTGGCACCTTTGCTGGGTGGGACTGGGCCACGTGTCAAAGGTCAGGGTACAGACCCAGGCGCGGCGCGTCACCTCAGAGCCAGGGCCGAGGGGGCAGGCGGGCTGCGGGGCTTCAGCACACCGCGGCTGGCCGCATCGCAGGTGGTGGGCATCCTAGGTGATGGAGCTTCCCCTCCTTATTCACAGTGTGGATTAAAAGGATCAGCAACTGATAGCAGAAACAAACGACTATATCAAAAAAGCGTTGGGTGATTTTTTTTTTCTATGTACTCAACAGGTCTTTCCTAATAATGACTCAAAAATCAAGAAGCAAAAAGGGAAAAAAAAGACTGTAAATCTGATTACTTAACACAAAACGTGGAAACGAAATTTTGTAAATGGGGTAAGGGGAGGAGGCGTTGAAGGGAGAGTAGAGGAATGGGAAAGATAACAGTACCATGTATAGGTACAAATCTTCTCTGATGATCATTAGGTATGTCCGAAATGTACCAATAAAATCTAATTGAAGTGAAAAAAAAAAAATGAAGCTTGGTCAGCCCCTGCTTATGGAAACAAGACACAAAGAGAACAAGCTAGTGAGGCTCAGAAAAGACGTGTAAGTAGCTGAGCCAAGTGAACACGTGCTGCATGGCTCCTAACTGCACAAACCCTTGCTGAGACTGCTGAGCCCTGAACAACACTGGAGAGAGATGGGGTGGGGGTGTTCTCCCACGGTGCCTCGCTGTATGGAATGACAAGAGCCCTAAATGACCATTGCCTGAACCCACCTCCAGATTTTCCTATGGACCCAATCTCACTTTCTCCGTGGTGCTGGAGATAAAATCCAGTGCCTTGCACGTGCGAAGTAAGCTCTCTACCATTTGCTCCCAACAATCCCAACTTCTGAAAACGAATTTCAAAGACAGAATACAGAACACAAATGTTGGAAACATACATTCACAAAACTTTGTAATTCCACAATTATTTGTAACAACAAAAGACTGGAAACAAAACGTCTATTAATAAAACAGCTATTGAATAAGTATGAATAAGTATGAATGAATGAATGAATGAATAAGTATGAATAAGTATTGAATAAGTATGAATAAAAAAGATAATAGTGTATTCTGTTATGTATATAAAAAACAAAGTTACTACTTTCATTTAGATCTTACCTGATTTTATTCATATATACTCCTGTTGTCTGAAAATATAGATTTAAAGTTTACATCTTCCAATCTAGATAAATTTTCTTTCCTCGGTGCACCCCTCACCAGTGGTGAATTGCTATGATAAGAATAGACATCTTGTTTGGGTTTTGATCTTGGGGAAAAGCACCCAATCATTACCACTAATCCTGAGGTTAGCTGTAAGATGGAATTGGAGGCTGATTTATATTCTTTTCTATTCTTAGTTTGTTGATCGTTTTGTGTGGCAGTACTGGAGACTGAGCCCAGGGCTTTATACACACTAGGCAAGCCCTTTAGCACTGAGCTGGAATCCCAGGCCATCCCCCCTCCCCCCGCTTTTTTTTAGACAAAGTGCCTAGGTTGGCCTTGAATTTACAATCCTCCTGCTTCAGCCTCCCCAGCTTCTTGGGTAGCTAAGATTACTGGCATGCACCAACCATGCTTGACAAAAATGTGTTTGTTTTGTTTTGGTGTCTGCTGAGTTCAACATATAGATTATGTTTTTAAAGTTTATCAGGGGGTGGGGATATAGCTCAGTAGCATTGCACCTGTCTGGGAAGTATGAGGTCCTGAGGTCAATTCCCAGTTGCAAAACAAAACAAAAAATACAAAGTTTATCATTTTGGTGGGTTACCCATTGATTTTCAAATTTTAAAGGAAATTAGCTTTTTTTTTTTTTTTTTTTTTTTGTACCAGGGACAAAACTCATGACCTTGTACTTGCTAGGCAGGCACTTGCACAGCTGAGCTAAATCCCTGGCCCTGAACTTTGCATTCTTGAGATAACCCCATCTGTGATAGGGACACCAATTCTTGAGATACCCCAAATGTTACAGTATATCTCCTTTTGATGTACTGTTGGGTTTAACTTGTTGAGTTTCATAGAAAACTTTTGTAATTATGTTTAAAAAGATCTGTGAAAGGAGAACTTTCAGAAACCAGGAAATGTGAAGAGTTTACCTAGAAATAAATAGAACACTCCATGTCCTCCCTATTTGAATCAGTTGTAAGAAACACTGGGAACTTCCGAGAGTAAATCAGTATTTCTACAGAAAGTGGCAGACAATTTCTACAGAAATTCTACAGAAAGTGGCAGAATTTCTGCAGAAAGTGGCCACCCAGAATGTAGAGAGCTGGCTATTTCAGGAAAAGCTGTACTAGCCTTGTTGTTATTGGGGTGGTGCCACCATTTCACCTAGAGATAGTGTGTGAGCCTTAGACAGCCTTGTTCTCATGTCGCTGTTTATGAACATAATATCCAAAAGGTAAAAAAAGAAAAAGACAAGAGAACCACGAAACTCCTTAAAAACTTCCAAGAGCGTGCCACAGTGGTAGTGTTTGATAGAACTGTGTGGGGAAGGAGGAGGAGGAGGACTGGCAGTGGCTGAAAAGTATAAAATATAAATAACCTTTATTTTGGGAATGTGGGGAGAGACACCCCCAACCCCCTGGGGCATGGCATCTCCACCCCGGGGCCGGCGATCTCTCCGTGGAACACGTGGAGTAAGGCATATAAGTAGCCTCGGCCTGGGGTGGAACCTAAAGGGGCATTAGGGATGCACAGGTAGCCCATTGGTCTTAGTTTGGCACCAGAGGTAATTCCTAAGGGTGGGGGAAATTGGGGGGAGGAGCTTCCTGGCTTTATGGGCTATAGTATCCGGCCTGGCCAAAACCCTTTCATATCCTGTCTTATGATTATTATGAAAAGGGGCAAAGATTTTTCTCTTTAACTACTTCCTGCTGGCTGAGGGCGCTGTACTGGGGTCTAGGGGAGTCGACAGATGACAGTTGATGTCTAGGTAGAAGCTGGTGTCAGGTGTTTTAGCCAGGACAACTTCACTGGTGAATGCACATATGTTAGACTGAAAAAACAAAGAGACAAGGTGTTATGAGAAGATATGGCACTGTCATATTTAAGGACTCAAGTGAGGTAGAGGGAAAGGTGTCTTTGATTTAGACATGTCATTCTATCAGGATGACGTTGAGGTAGGAACATTTCCACGGCATGGCAGAATTCTGAAACATTAAACGTGGGATTAGTAGGAGTGAAGTTATGACAGGTGTTTATTCCCCCATATGAAAGCATAAAAGTTAAAAGGTAGGTCAGTAAGGCTTTTCTCTGGTATATATGATGTTGGAGTCTGTAGGCAATACTGTAAAACTGATCATTAATAGAATGTAAGAAATTAGGAACCAAAGTGGATAACAAAACATGACAACCTGTAAGTCATGGCCATGAGGCCTTGGTAAGGCAGAGATGAGTATGAAAAGGATGGTCAGATCTAGGGCCTGAGTGATGTGAAACCAGGATGGCGGTCTAGCAACTTTGATTGCTGTTGAGGTTATCAAGAATATCAGGCATGGGTCACTGTGACTTGGTTGTAGTCATTGGAATGTTTTGCTGTAACAGAACTTTATCAAGTATATCAGTAGTTTCCCTGGTTGTGAGAAAGGCTTTTATGTATCCTGAAAAAGTATAAACAAAGTGAGAAGACAAAATGTATCTGTCAGTCTGTATAAAAGGGAATAAAAGCATTTTAAGATTTAGAACTGGGACCTGCACAAAAATAGGCCCTGTTTGTAACTGCCATAGGTTGACCTTTAATACTCCATCAGATATTGAGGGTTTATTAGCCTGAAAACTCAGTAAGAACTCTGTATATGTGGCCTCTCTGTCCACGAGTATAGAGAGTGTCTTACCTTCAGAGTTTTTAATTTGACTTGGACTCTGAGACAGAAACCCACAAAGGCAGCTGTCGTTGGCCCTTAGCCCCTGTCAGTCTTCGGCAGCAATTTTTGTCCATGACGAATCTGGCAGTGACCTGTGAGGGCTAGAAGTTAGGATGGCCCACCCACTCTCTGGTGGCCAGGATAGCCCAACAGCCCTGGAGTAAGGTCTCAGTCATGAGACACCAGAACTGTGAAGAATATTCTGAGACCTTACTGAGTTCTGGACCCTGACTTGCTGGGTTAGCTGTCTGATTTTGGCAGATCAATCTGTCTTGACCTGGTATTTTTAATCACATAACAAGTGAGTCTTTTCCTCTATATACCCTATAATTTTATAACACACAAACTTAATTCTTCAGAACTGTGATGTGTGGTACAGATACGACCTCCCCATCATCAATAATGAACCACTCTCTCAGCAGGACTAGAAAGCAGTGAGGTCAGTTTAATAAGCTTCTTTAAAGAGCTCTTTGGCAATAACTATCAAGAATCTTTAGGCCTGGTACCAAAAAAAAATCTTCAAGGGCTGGGGTTGTAGCTTAGTGGTAGAGTGCTTGCCTAGCACGCGGAGGACCCTGAGTCCAAACCCCAGGATTAAAAAGAAGAAGAAGAAAAAGAAGGTTTAAATGACCAAACCTTTGGACCTAGTAACTCTGCTTCTGGGAATCCATCTTAAGGAAGTAATTCAAAATGCAGGAAAAACATTAGGTATAAGTCATTGTAACCTTGTTCCTCACAGAATATAAGAAGAAACAAACTGAAATTCAACCATGGGGGAAACCTAACAATTTCAAATTAAGTTTACAAGCTACATCTTAGAAACAACCCAAATGCCCATCAACCAAGGAATGGATAAAAAAAAAGACAT